TGAAATGATGTCAATTTTTTTGGGACACGCTGTATTTTTCTAATATGTTAAGCTCAGCAAATAAGTAGAAATTGTGCACTAAAATCAGCAAAAAAGAGGCCAAATTTCGGTTTGTACTGTGTAGCGAGTATGTTAACTTATTTTGACTTTTTTTGAAAATCCAACAAATGTACATGTAATTTGACCGGGGGTATTTAAACTTTTGCATGTACAAAATATTTCCAACAATATGAGTAGGTGATATATGATGCAAGGATAGTGTTAAGTAGTAGTTGCTGCTGCATGTTACACATACCATAACAGTGTGCAAATGAGACAAAACAAAGTGCCCTATAAGTATGTGAGTCTTTTTTCCCTTTTTTTCCTATCAAAAGTGTCCCGTTGCTCTCACTCGCTCACTCAGGTTTGTTGACAGTGGAGCGGAAGGGCGCTGACATCTCAGGGAGGCCTCACATCTTTGTTACCTTCTGACTCTCTTTCAGTCAGGCCCGAAACTTCACGCAAGGACGCGAACGCAGAAGCTTCGAGCTACGCAGATGGGGTTTCACGCGTAGTAGCGTTCAAAAATGTGTCACGATGCATTCTGAGCGTCACAGCAAGGGGCGCTACAACAACAGCCAAGCCTGACCAAGCGGTCTTGTACCACCAGCGTGTTTTCTCAACTGCCATAGCAGACGAGCAGTTGAGTCTCACACACAGACGGCATAAAAATATGATTAATTATCGCATTTCCAAACCAAGAGAAGAGGTAAAGCAGCTCACTCTCCTCTACTGTCCACGTTTAGCTGTTGGAATAACAGTAGAACAGTATATCTCTGATTTGAACTCTATCGCCCCCTTCAGTACTGAGTGTTTTAACCTCCACACAACGTAAGAACGCGTGGTGAGTTTATACAGAAGGACCAAACGTTTGCAGTGCGTTGGCCGAGCGCTGTCATTTGCGTTCACGCCCTTGCGTAAAGTATGTTTCGGGCCTTAGGCTGCTGGAGTCTCTGCTACGCTCTGTTAACACTTTATATGGTTCCCATTCAGAACTAACAGAACTGTCTGTGTGTTTGTTTGCCCATCCTGTGTGGTCTGATGCTGTAGCTTCATCTGCCGTGATCAGGCGCCCACTGCTCGCCAGCCTTCTGGACCCGATTGATCACCATGGAGCTTCCTGCTGTCCAACGCTGTGCAGAACGCTTCACCTGCATGAACCGACCCTCCTGATGATACAGCAGCTGCAGACTCAAACTATTTAATCAGACATTGTTTCACCTGCTTCACAATCTACTGAGCTCTTACACTCTCACAGTAGCCACTGATATTCAGATTTAACTATTATCTTCACTTTGATTCACTCCTAACAGTAGTCACTGTTTTTCCACTGGCAACAGTGACTGATTTTCATTGATCTACTCATTGTTACTCTGATGGGCCTCTAACAGTCGTCATCAGTCATCACTGGTTAATCTAAATACTGTCCGATGACAGGCCGGTTTCTTTTTTTCTGTATATAATTTTGTATACTAATTCTAAAATCTTATTCTCTGTTCATTTTGCTCCTGTTGTGTCATTGTTTTGCTCTCCGGTGTCGACCAGAGGAGGATGGGTTCCCCTTCTGAGTCTTGGTTCCTCTCAAGGTTTCTTCCTCCTGCTCTTTGAGAGTTTCTCTTGTCACTGTTGCCCTTGGCTTTCTCGTTTAAGGCTTGAACCCAGATGTTCAGCAAAGCTGCTTTGTGACCACGCCTGTTGTAAAAAACACTATATAACTTGACTTTGACTACAGAAGAAAAGTCCTGGTTCATGTGGAAGTTTCTCTGGATGTAAGGCCCACGTGTGAAACACAAGGCCACAAGGGCCAAATCAGGCCCGCCACACAATGCTGTCCGGCCCAGCACTCCCCCACGACCCAGAAGGATAAGCAGTTTCAGAAAATGTGTGTGTGTGTGTGTACTAGAACGTTTCACAGTGTGCTACACTACAGTTCCCAGCATGCACTGCAACATAATGTGAGGTTACACCTCAATTCTACACAATTCTGTGCAATTCCACACCAGTCATATCACCAAAATACTTTTCAGCTGCAGTTCAACCAATATAGACACTTAAAATCAGCTCAGCAGCTCAGAAACTGAGCCCAAGTCTTAATGAACTTGCAGTAAAAAAAGGATGCCAGGTGTCCAGTTCAAGCAAATAGGTAAGTTTAAAAGTCCGAGCACCTGGGGACGTTTAAGTTTTGAATATTTTGAGTGTTCATGTAATATTTCAAAGTCTACTACAAGTGTCTGTATTTTACTGTTGAAGTTTTTGCATATCGCTGTTGTCGGAAGAAAACCTCGTATCTCCATTTTTGACGATTTCAGTTTTTACCATAATTTGAAAACACCTGTTACCCTTTACATTGTGTGTAAATTTCATGATGAATGGACCAAATGAAATGACCAAAATGACTTGGAAAAAGTCTGGTTCCATTGACTTACATTAAAAGTAAAGTATATTTTTTCCTTCTCCTGTAAAGTTACCATTTTGGAGATGCGAGGTTCTCTTCCGACAGCAGCGATATTTTAAATAAACAATGGCCAGTTCGGGTTACAGCACAACAATAATTAAATATGAAACTTTTTTCTCTGGTCCACAGATTTGCTGGGATTTTTTAATATGGCACTTTTAGTGGTTGAGTTTGACACCACTGATGTAAAGTGTAGCTCAGGCATGAATGGTTTCCTCACAAAGCAGACAGTGCTGTGTTTTCTTTCCTCGGGTCAGCTGCTGTTCACCGTTTCACAGCTCAAAGTCCTTCTGACATTCAGGCGCCTGAAAAAAAAGATCGCCCGCGACCAGGAGCACCGCACCAGCCCAGCTCCGGGAGGCAGGTTAGGCTTGAACCGCGCCTTCAGCCTGTTAAACATGCTCCGGTGAGGAGCAAAGGCTTATTCGACTGTCTTATCACATCAGTTGTGGCCCAGTGGGTCTCAAGTGACCTCCAGAGTCAGAGCAATAGAACGACTTCACGGTCAGCTTCGGGGGAGAGACCGTTCTCAAGCTCTTCAGTCATTTCCTAATTGTGATTAAGCAAGCAAAGTTTATTTATATAGCGCTTTTCACAACAGGTGTTGTGACAAAGCAGCTTTACGGAAAAATCCGGGTCCGAGCCCCCATGAGCGTCGCCAATGGCGACAGTGGCAAGGAAAAACTCCCTAAGAGCAGGAGGAAGAAACACTGAGAGGAACCAAGACTCAGAAGGGGAACCCGTCCTCCTCTGGTTGACACCAGACAGCAAACAGTGTTAGTATTATGTATTGTAGTACAAAACGGGGAAAACAGGAGGAGTAATGGTTAATTAGGTTAGTTTTTGTTTATGCAGCAGCAGCAGCATCGGGAGGGTCAGTTCATCAAGGTGAGGTATGCACAGCATTGTACAGCATGAAGTTCAATGGTGGTCAAGCCGGTCCAGAAGGCTGGCGAGCAGTGGCACCCAATCAAGGCAGAAGAGGCAACAGCATCAGACGCACAGGATGGGCAGCTGTTCAACTCAGCAAAGAGAGGAAAACACACAGAGAGTCAGTTCTAACTAGGCAGGTCTAGTTATTACAGCCTAACTAAAAGGGAGAAGCCAGAAGGTAACAGAGACACGAGGCTCCCTGAGATGTTGGCGCCCCTCCACTCCACTGTCAGCAAACTTGAATGAACGCGTGAGAAAAGTGGGACGACGGCACCAACACTCCCAGTTTACCATAATACTCTATGACCATGAACCCCCAGATCTGCACCTTTTATCTGACAGGGAAAACTAATTACCAAAGGCTCCACTAAACAAGTAGGTTTTAGCCTAGACTTAAAGACTGAGGCTGTGTCTGAGTCCCGAACACTGACAGGAAGATTATTCCAAAGCTGGGGGGCTTTGTATGAGAAGGTTCTCCCCCCTGACGTAACTTTATTAATTCGTGATAGTTCATAGTGGGAGAGAAGTTCACTCAGGTACTGAGGGGCGAGTCCATTTAGAGCTTTATAAGTCAGTAAGAGAATATCGAACTGGCAACCAGTGTAGGGTTGATAAAAAGCCATTAAGGTATTGGGTGTCTTCTTCTTCTGGTGCACGTTTTGACTACTGCAATTGGTCCACCTTATCCTTGATGAGGTAAGCACTGCACTGGAAGAGTTATGATTTATTACTGTTAGTTTCTGCAATGAAAATGCCACCTTTCCTGGCTGCCTGCCAACATAAGCACACATACAGGTGACAGGCTGGTTTATCGCACTCTTTGCGCCTTCGTTACGCAACGTCTCTGAAGTGCATGTAGGCTTTCAGTGTTCCTTTTGTGCAACGCTGCCTGCCTCACTGCTCTCGAACTGCTGTGACAGCAGCAGCAATCATTCACCCGACATGGAGCAGCGCCGCCGCAGCCAAAATCGGTCGGAGCCCGGCTTGATGAATAACTCCGGCTTAATGGATGATTGGACCAGTCATATTTTTACCAAGCCGAAGAAAAACGGTCACTATTTTGCACATTACATGGACCAGTGACCAAAATATCTGTGACCCCACCCTTTATTTCATTTCCCGTCAAAATGGCCATTAAGTACAAGTTAAACATTGTCAGATAATCTTTGGTCTAATTCTAATTAAGAGATTAGAGACAAAAGAAGTCAAAAGTCAAAGCAAGTGAAAAAGTTTCCATTAAATTAAAAAGTTATTAAAATCTGTGCAAAGCCTGGTTGACCACCGAAACTGTTCCCCTCAGATAAAGAGCACTTAAAGCTTTCGTCTTTGAGAGAGGAGAAAATCATCTTCACTCATTTTAGATTTTAACCATTCTGTGGTGTTGATGTTGCTACTCAGTGGTCTGGTGACCCACCGCATTGGCTTTTAAATCAATACAGCCATAACAATTTATATAAAAATACCAGATGTTTGAAATATCACCAGTGTCCAGCGTAGGGTTCTCCTTTAGCAGGTGTAGCCAGTCAGGTATGTCTAATATTGTGGATGGACAGTGTAAAGAGAAAACAGTGTATTGGTTTAATTATTTATTTATCAAACATTTGAGTCACAATAAGCACATGGTGATTACAAGGAAAATCAGGGTAAACATATCACCCCCAACCAGAGGAACAAAACAATTACCAATGTTAAGACAACCCTTTCAAATAACAGACACTGCTTGGTGCCTAGTGCTTGTCCCATGTACTAAAAATGAGCAAACATGTTGAAACACCGGCCAGAGGGAACAGAAAAACAATAAACCGCCTCGTACGAAACTGAACACTTCATTTGTGGGAACAGGTTGATCTTCCTTTGTTATAATATGGTGCAGCTGGGATTTGTGGTAGATGTGAGTTTGGGGTCCAATGAAAGTCACTCAAAATGTAATAATTCAAAAGCAGTCATCTCCAATCACATTAGCCACTGCTCCTTCTCCTTGCTAAACTGCTCCGCCCACTTCCTGGTGAGCTCCAGGTAGAGGTCAGGCTGATGCGGTTTGTAGTCCAAATACAGACGAGTCACCGTCTTCTTAGGCACCGCCCTCTCGATCTGCGTGCCCTCGTGCCACTCGTTAAAGGAAGTTATGGTGATGATATCTGGCCTCACCGACAGCGCTGCCTGTAGTGAGGTCTCATAATACCGTCCGTTCACTCGGTTTCGCGTGTTGTGGTTGTTCCACGGTCGCACGGCAGTGTCTACGTAACCTGGTCCAGCGCTGGGCACGAACAGAAGGTTGTTCCTATCACAGAAAGCCTTGATGGCCTTCCAGTTCTGGTGAGAGGAGCCGAAAGAGAATCCATTGGACGCGAAGTACGTGTACATGCCGTCAAAGCCGCTGGCCAGGATGTCGTGCTTGTGGCGCTCCTCCACAATGAGGGCGATGAAGATCCCGTCGTACGGAGTTCCTCGCACGCTGTGGGAGCCTCGGGAGGTCAGTAACTCGGCCCAGGCCTCAGGTGGAGTCAGGTAAGAGTCATACACGTAGAACAAGGGAAGCACTTTCCCTGTGCTGGACTTGAATCGGTAGAAAGCGCCATGTTTTCCATACCTGCGTAAAAAATTGTTAAATAAAACAACACTGAAGTAATGTAGCTAAACTGTATGTCCAAAGTATCCAGACAGCCCTTATAATGAGTGAATTCAGCTACTGTAAGGTGCGTTCAAGTGCCCAATTATAGCTTTGGAATAGCTGCACATTAGCCTAAGGTCACCAGTCGGCTAGAGGAGCATAAAGCCCATCAGCACTGAGCTGTAGAGCAGTGGGACTGCGTTCTCTGGACTGACAGAGCTCTCATGGGATGAGTTGTGATCCAGACCTCTTCCAACATCAGAACCTAAGGGTCGACAGACGTATAAATCTGCCCTGGCTACTGAGGTCACCAAGCCAGTGAGTGAGTCTTGTGGCTGAAATGAAGATATTGTACTGAAAGTACAGTTTTAAACACTGCGTCCACTCACTGTCCACTCTATTAGACACTCCTACCTTGTCAGTCCACCTTGTAGATGTAAAGTCAGAGACGATAGCTCATCTGCTGCTGCACAGTTTGTGTTGGTCATCCTCTAGTCCTTCATCAGTGGTCACAGGACGCTGCCCACAGGACGCTGTTGGCTGGATATTTTTGGTTGGTGGACTATTCTCAGTCCAGCAGTGACACTGAGGTGTTTAAAAACTCCAGCAGCACTGCTGTGTCTGATCCACTCAGACCAGCACAACACACACTAACACACCACCGCCACGTCAGTGTTACTGCAGTGCTGAGAATGATCCACCACCCAAATAGTACCTGCTCTGTGAGGGTCCATGGGGGTCCTGACCACTGAAGAACAGGGTAAAAGGGGGCTAACAAAGTATCAGAGAAACAGATGGACTACAGTCTGTAACTGTAGAACTACAAAGTGCACCTATATAGTAAGTGGAGCTGATAAAATGGACAATGAGCGTAGAAACAAGGAGGTGGTCATAATGTCATGCCTGATCTGTGTATACAGATTCAGAACAAACACATCTTGCACAACTTAAATAAAATACTATTTATGCAAATGCTGATAACTGATGATGTCACTAAGTCTTGAATTCATACTCCTAATAAGACAGATGATGCGCTCAGAATGACACCACAAATCTGTCTGTACTATCTCAGCACATGAACACTCTCACTATGCCAGTGCAGAGTCTTCACAGAATCTCATTCTTCACCTGCATGACTGCAGATAATTAGCCTAAGAGGAGAACAGCTGACGGCTGTAATGTGTAAATGACCCATTAGATGATTCACTGCTCCACACCTTTGTCTCAGAGCTGAATGGTGACTCTGCATGTTCGAAACTGCTACAGACCTGGGTACCTTTCTCTCATCATCTTCTAGTGGGATTACAGCAGTAACCTCAGGTCCAGAGCTACCTCTGCGTGTTACGAATATACAAGAATATAGCTCTATTTTTAGCCCGTTTCTTCTGTCGGCCTGGATGGAATTCCTCCCCTATTTTCCGAGTTCAAAGACAGAAAGACATTGATGTGGACAGTGGAACAGTCTGCCCTTCAGCTGCAGGCTGGAGTCATGGGGCTCTCTGATCTCCACTGCTGAGAAGGTGTGGAAAGGGCGCAATGAAAAGTAATGCGCTCAGCTGGGGCTGGGCTGACTAAGACAACACTGTCATTATTTAAAACTGGGAATGCGCAATGATGCCGGAATAATATCTGCAACAGGTCTGGGCGATAGGGCAATGTAATCGGATATTGACGATGATGGACAAGTAACCCAATGGCAATGTGTGAAAGGAGATAGTCGCCGTTTTGGTAAAAGAAAGATAGAATTAGAGAGGACTAACTGACCATTAAACAGCTTGAAAAATACGTAGGGAAACGGGTTCACATTTAAGAAGTGTGCCTTTTCACGCACCAGTAGTCAGTTTCACAGACAAAGTGCCTATATATAAGTGTTATTTCTCTCTGTTACGCACTGTAATGCTAGCTTTACTGATCTGAATGGAATCAAAAATGAATACTGATGTGCTTTGGAGCTTCAGCTTGCCTCAAAGAGACTTGTTGCAGTAAAGAAAACGAGCTAAACTGACTAAAAGTTAGTGCTGATCATATCGATAATCACATTTTTTAACTAGAAAATATTATGCTAATTATTTAAGCAATAGAACACGAGAGGGAGTGTGTTATCACGAAATAACATCACAGCTGTGATTTGCTGTAGATTGTCACAGCTGTGATGTTTTTCGCGATAACACACGACCACGAGTGTTCTTTTGCTTTTATACAACAGTTAAACAAATAAAGTAATAAATTAATAAACTGGGCCGTGAACGCGGCGTTTAATATGTTTTAATGTTCGCAGTTCCTTCACCAAATTATAGTTCCTTAACGAGCAGCTTGTTGCTACGTCAGAGTAACGAGCTCCGCCCACTCGCTGCACAGCCGGCAGTTCGTTCTCCAGCTCCTTACACTAAATTCCCAAACTGTCGTCACCACTGAGCAGCTTTTCAGTCGGCAGCTGTGACAGAAGAACAGCTAAACAACCTGGAATCAGCCAGAAATTAGCCCAATACCATTCGCCAAACGTGTATTCTGATCTTCAGAGTCTGACCAAATCAGACTGAGCCATAAAACTGCAGCAATATCAAGTTCAGCTCAGTTTTGTCAGTTTTTGCAGATCAGTATTAATGTTGTTTTGTTCCAGCCAGTCTGTAAAGCATCTTACAGCCCGTTTAGTTTGGCGAATGGTGTTGGGTTCATTTCTGGCTGATTCCAGGTTGTTTAGCTGTTCTTCTGTCACAGCCGCCGACTGAAAAGCTGCTCAGTGGTGACGACAGTTTGGGAATTTAGTGTCGTCTCATCTTCAGAGTCTGACCAAATCGGCTGTCGGTCAAATGTGATCTTAAAAGTGTCCATTTTCTGTTTGTGGCAAAGAAAGAAGTAAAAACGTTCAAATGGCTTGAGCGTCTCCTACAGCTGTCAAAGTCGCTGCTTAGCAACAGCATCTCAGCGGAGTGATACAGTGTCTGTGAAAAACCTGTGATGTTATGGCGAAATATCAGCACGGTTAGAACGCTTCTCAACCAATCAGCTTGCGTGGCCGGAACTAACTGTTGCATAATTTTAGATATCGCCCAGGCCTGACCTGCAATAGCAGCTTTAAGAAAAAAAAGCGACAGTTGTTTTGATTTGACTGATATTTCAAACTGATACTTGATTTCTTTTTTATTTATATTTGTTGTACTCTAACTAAAACTAACTCTGTCACTTCTCAATTAAACAATTCTTCCTTTTTATCAAGTACTGCACAGAAGTGCACTGGGGTGAAAGTTTCGGTGCATCTTCTTTTTTCATCCGTAAAAATCAAATTGGTGTGAAAATGCCTTCCAACGACTAAACACTGAACTATAATTAAGAGTGAAAAATGCTGTTTCTGATGGTGTTTCTCCTGTGTAGCATGCTAATGTGTATAAAATGGAAAAACAATACATTCAGTCTAATAATTCCATCTACTCCTCCCTGTTCCTCAGTTCTATCCATCAGTCCTACCACCAAAACGAGGGGTCCAGCCTTCTAGCTTTGAACAGAAGGTGCCAGAGCTCCAGCCCAGTTTTAGAGCTCTCTCCCGTCCCTTGCAAAATACACTGTATTCATTTGCCAATGTCAATTCAAAGTATCTATACTGGATTATATAGTATAGATACTTAGTGGATTCAGTGTAAATTTTGAGTAGTGACATTAAACCTACTTGTCAATGATGTATTTGATGTTCTCGTGCATGCTGAGCTCCGTCCGGCCTCTGTAGGGCTGGATGTGAAACGCCACCTGTAAACACAACACAGGTTGATCTGAATTCCACACATCGGTGAACATCAAGAAACACAAAATGTAGCCATGCAACAAGTTCAAGTCAGGATACTGCATCCTCCCTCCAAAGAAAACAAGCACAAACATCAGCTGCATGTGTGATAAACATTCTGAGAAGTGTACGAGGCCAGCAAAGTCATTTTAGCAAGGATGTCTGGTTCACTCAGCCGGAAACTTATGAGGCTTTGCTTTTGCTTATATTTGGAATAGCTTGGAGCTGCCGCTACCCAGTGGAAAGTGCCTGCTGCTCCTGAAAGTGGGTCTGAAGCTACAGGGCACCATCTGCCTGTACGCCTGAGGCTATTTGAAAGGGTGCCTCTCCGTGGAGAACAGTCCAGCCTATAAAACAGAGAGCTTATGACATCTGGCCACATCTAACATAAAAGCTAAACACCATGAAATCTACTGAAAGCACGGATGGGCTATTTGGGCTTCTTTTTGGATCGGATAGTCTTGCAAGGCCAGAATACAGACTTATTAGGATCGTAACAAACTGAGTATGACACTTCAAAACCAGTCAAACGCCTTGTGAGCTGGTCTGTCTGTTGCGGCAAAGTGACTCAGACTGAACAGCCAGATCGGAGTTCATGCGACTTTTATGTCAATCCCACTCAACATTCATTTGGGTTGATATTTCTATATAAAAAAATTAGAAAAGACTCATCGCAACCGCTCCGTGTTTGAAGAGGTTATGAAAGAAATGTCCGAACGTGGCCGCAGGAGAACGAGGCTGCAGCGTCAAAGAATAGATAAACGTCTGAAAGCAAAGTTTAAGGAATCCGAGGACGCGAACCAAAGAAGTGGCCGCGCCCTTTTTATGGAGCTCGAACACATTCTGGGTGATGAGCCCAGCTGTCAGTCAGTGAAGCTTCATGATGGCTCCTGTGATGCTGGTAAAGATGAAGCTCATCCTCCGGGAGCGACTGGCGTTCGTTGGCGGTCGTGATTGTTTACCTCTGGATGAGCCTCGTGAAGCTCTGTTCTTTTGCGCATGCGGGTCAGTTTAGGAGCTGATCTGTTCAGACTGATGTCGCATACAGAACGCATTTAAAGGATAACGTGAACAGCCAAACAAAAAAAAATCGGATTTGGTGAGAAAATCAGATTTGGGCCTCTTTTACCTGCTGTGTGAACGTAGCCTAAGTAGAGATGAAACGGTTACCGGTTTCACGGTAAACCGCGGTAAAATTAATGACGGTTAGTAGTACCGTTTGAACTTTAAAGTACCGTTAAAACCGCGGTCGATTACCGCGGTGAGATTCGGAGATATTTCAGCCTTCGAAGAAGACCAAGTCTGACATTTGGTCATATTTTGGGGATTATGAGAATGCAGAAGGAAAGTTAATTGAAGATGACCACCCTGTCTGCAGAACAGGCTGAAATAAAATAGCGGAGAAAGGGGGGCAACACATCAAACCTTACGAGTCATCTTCGCGACCACCACCAAGAATGCAAGGTTAACTTTAACGGAGAAGTCTGTGGGGACTTCGAAATAGGAGAAATGTCATGGTTTGTGTGGTTTAACCTATGCTTATGGTTCGTTAATAATATACAATGAAGCTTTTAGCGTCAAAAAAAGAAAAACAATCGGTGAATCAACTGTAAATCGAAACTAAAGCTTTTAACACATATTTCTGTGGAGCAGAGTCTCCAAAATGAGCTCTGAGTTATCAGTCACACGAGCTCCGGAACGAGACGCTGCAGATATTCAATCTGCACAGCTCCCCTTTCTCGTCTCGCTTGCAGTGTTTACTGTCTGAGAAGAGAATAACACCGTCTCAAATCACTCAGTGTCCCCTACAGAGGGCGCTACTGTTCAAAAAATACAATCATCATTAACAAGCAGCTGAGTTTTAAATAGGGAATTTGTAACCTGTTGTTAATGTTGATTATAGATGACTTAGTCGAACGTTTCCTGCACTCTTTGGGTGAAGGATTTGCTATTTCATGATCCACAAAGTGCACTACATAGGGAAGATAGTGTGCTTTGGGATGGGACCTCGCGTGAGTAAACGCTGTGTGCTGCTTTTAGGAAAAGCAGAGTTTCAGAGATTAAACTTTAGGAGTGTTTCTGCCGCAGCTCAGATGCGCATTAATTTTAAGTTATGTTTTAGTTTTAAAATGCTTTTAGAGAAGCAGCTCAACAGGTGAAGACACACTGTGTGAGGTCTACACTGTCTGCAGCTCACAGCGCGGTCACGCACACCTCAGAGTTGGTCCAGATTTAATTCTCTATGTAGGGAAATCCCTAGTTATTGTAATTAATAATAATAATAATAATAATAATAACAGTAATAATAATACATTTGCTATTCTTTTGTTTACAGAGTATTACAAGTATTGTAAGAAATACAAAAGTAATACTAAAAATATATTGACCTTTTTTTTTAATGTTTACGCAAACAAAAAATGCATATTGCTACCAATTCTATTTGTGTTAATATAAAAGTTGGTGAAACGAGTTTCAGTTTGTGTATCAGTATTTATTTATTTTACTTTTCAACGCCTTTGAACAATATCACGATAATACCGATAATCGTGATAATTCTGGTCATGATAATCGTGATATGAAATTTTAATATCGTTTCATCTCTAAGCCTAAGTAAACAACATGAAAATACAAAGTATTTGGAATTTTTTCTTAACGCCAATACTATTCAGACAGAACATTATACAATTATTTAAAAAATACATTTCGCCATGTGGTTTTTGCTATTAAAAAAAAGAACAAATGGGCAGAATGTCTTCAAGTGAGGAGCAAAAGACAGACTATTGTCCATTTTGAAGACCTTAAGATATGATTTTTCACAAATTCGTATTACAGAAGCAAATCTTATCTTGATTTACGAATCTTATTTCACAGCATCTTAGCTCCACTCAGGAAATCTTAACTCTTTGTCTTAACTTAAGATCTGACAAGTTAAGTCACGTATTACAGAAGCAAATCTGATCTTAAGAATCTTATCTTATCTTACAGCATCTTTTCTTATCTTTCTTATCTAGGAAAGTTAGGAAATCTTAACTTATTTGATTGAAGTCGACAATCAGCTGTCATGTCTGCTACCTAGCAACCAACAATGAGGGCAAAGCTGAAATGTAAATACGTAATCAAAATAATCAAGCTAGTTAGCTTGGCAGCTAGCTACAGTTACCGATGTACAAAAAAGGTCAAACTGAAGCGCTAAACTGAAAGTTATGAATATTGTCTCAGCGCCCCCTGCTGTTTATCAGAGCGTCGCCGCTCCACAGTTTCAGTCTCCATTTCCCAAATGCTTTAGCCAAGCGCGCTAACGTTACTCCTCCTAATAAACAGACACACGTTCAGCTCCGTCTCCTCATTATTCACCACCATCACTGTAATATTTCATCATCAACATTAACACACAAAGGTAATCAGAGGGACGGTGGAGATCGAGTCTGCAGCGTCTGGGGTTTTTAAAACACTGTTAGAAATACTGCAATACTGGTTTTCTTATCTGGAGTTAATGATGAGATCATGAACTTAAGATCTGTTGTGCTGTAATAACTTCTGTCCTACATTCAGTCCTAACTCAAGTTGTCATGGTGACAGATAAGATTTCAGACTTAAGAAGTTTCTGTAATATGCCCCCAGTTCTAAGGACAGCCTGTAGGCGTGGCCTTGTTAGAGATAGATTTCACCACTATCTGGTACCAATATTTTAACAAGTTGTCTCCAAACATGGACTCTGGTTACAAAATCAAATCTGGACCTGCTGGACTATAATCAGGAGGACTGCTCATCAATAAACCAGACAGCTTTCACTGCTTGTTTAATTTGTTCGTAATTTACATCAGGGCAGCCAGTGACAGCATGTATCTCGTATATTATATGTATCCAATAATAGAATATAGTAACTTCCTGAGTCAAATATTTTTCTAATTGCTATGCAAATACATTACATCACTCCCTGACACACACTGTAACGTCATTATAGCCAGCCTGTTATCCAGAAAACCAGTATCCACCATATTGTTTAATTGATCATAAACTGGTTATGGTGTAAAATAATTTTAAGGTCATCGAAAGTGGTTTTCTCTGTGATCTGTGGTTTTCCGGAGACTCAAACGTCTCAGTTGATACTGTCATTGAAGAACAGCCGTTATTTAGGAAGCTTGGTCGATTATTGATCCTGTCACACAGAGTGCCTCTTACAGAGAATGGGCCTCTAGAATATCATCAGTGGTATCTGGGGACATTTTCTAAAAATAGTTATCTTTGGAAAATCCTATTTTTGAGTTGCGAGTCAGTAAACAACGATCTAGACAACATACAGTACACACCGTTGTGCCTTTCTACTACTGAGCTCTGAGAGCGAGCAAAGATCAACAGAAACAACGACACGAAACATCACACATTGACTTAAGATATAACGATCAAAAGAAAGTGCGCTGTATTTGAACGACTTTGACTTTGAACAACATGAAGCTGACATGATATCTATTTTGAAAAGCAGTGCACAAAGAGGCTTAAGACTCTCAAAAGGCAGCATAAAAATATATCTGAGTCACTTATATAACCTTTACAGATCCACTAAAAGCCTTGAGGCATTCTGACAGATGAAAGGCCTGGAGAGCAGTCATAACGCTGCCCTGCAGGATTGCTGAGTGACAGAAGCCACTCTCTGTCAGCAATACAAGAGCCTCAGAGTGCTGTAGACTCTAACCCTTTAATACTAAGGCAAAAAGTGTCAATTTTTCCCTTTTAGGTTGCGGTTTATATCTGTATTTTGGTTCCGTCAGTCTGAACAAAAGCAGAAAATCATATATTGCTGCATTTTAGCTCTAATTCACTTAGTGTTCACACTGACATACTGACATCGAACCCAAAGATGTAAACAAAAGTCATACCGAGAAAAAGCCACACTTGATTGGGCAATTTTATCAAGTCTTAGTGAACCATGCTGTTCTCCGGCCTTCCTGAGCTTGTAGATTTTGTG